ATATTAACAATGGAGGGCCATTTGAATTTCGAATTCGTTTTGGTTCATTGTAATATTATCCGCTTTGGCTTGAAATTTAAAACCTGAGCTTCCACGATACGCCATCACTATGTTTATTCTAAGCACCAACAGCGTGAAAATGGCTCAAACCTTGCTGGTATGCAGTGATTGGGTGTTTTCTACGCATATCGACTCGACTCGGCTTTATTTGATTAAGTTTGACTCGATTTCGAGTCGACATGGGTGTGTACTATTGAATGATTTATGTGGCGTTCCTGCGATTTCAAGCCACTTGCATTGTATACTGTGTCCTTGATAGGACAATAATAAAATAGAACAATTGTTGATTGTAGCAATGGTACGCTAACACATTGTCCTTTTACTAATAAATACCTGCGCTGATGGTGTTGCCGTTGTAGTAGCAGCCCCAATTTCATATAAAACCCCCTTCCAAAGCCAAAGTGGGAAATTATCTGCATTTTCATTATCAATATTTTTTTACCAATATGAACAACATTGTCTCTATTTTCTGTCTCGTCTTGCCAACTGCAACCCATGCCGTCTTTGCGACCGACGAATACCCGTACTCTGGCTAGCGCAGCGGCGTTGACCCCTGGAATTCCTACAAATGCCAGTGCGCGAGCTTTGTCGCCTGGCGCATCAACAGAAACCCCCAAATCAAATTCCACAACCAACACAAGGCCACTCAATGGGGGCAATGCCAACAGCTAGGACGAGGCTGCATGTAAGACCAATGTTAAAATCGATAAGCAGCCGGCTGTCGGTGCTGTTGTCCAGACCAGTGACGGAGAGACCGGACATGTGGCTTGGGTGACAAAGGTTTCTGGTAATCAGGTTACTGTTAAGGAGTACAATTGGGACGTTGATGAGGGGTATGCCACACGCAGCGTGCCAAATTCAAAGTTTGAATATTACATTCATCTCAAATAATCAGTGAATTATCATTTGTTTTTAAAAACAAGCCACGCGCTACTTTATAAAATGACTCATTAATTGAATCTGCGAGGCTGTATTTGCAATTTTAAAGAAACAAGAATTGGAAAATAAAACAACTCAATCTTTTTTAAATGCCGCTATGAGTGACCTTGTAAAAAATGAATTTTTTATTGTTATCAACTTGACTAAAAATAACTAAAAGAAATTCACTTGTAGGGCAAACACGTGGTTGAAGCACAAGTCCCTTCTTTGCGCAACAAAAAACATAAAAACAACCTCGATGATACTGATGGCTGCATTTCAATCGAGTAAAAAGAAAACCCCAAAATTTCGTACAAAGAAAAATACAAGGATGATTATTCCGCGTTTTGTTATTATTTTATCTTTTTTTGATGTTCATCCATTAATCCACATTTGCCTTTTTTATTTGGACATCAAGATACAACCATGCGTTTGTCATCTTTGAATTGGAAAACCTAATGCAGGAGAAAAATGAGCGACTAAAAAAATCCGGCCAGAATATAAAAAAAGTAAACTTTTTGAACCGGATTTTTTAAATTTCATTATACTTGAGAAATGTATGACTGAGGGGTATTTGCCTTGTTTTGTTTTGTTTTATTGTTTAGCACAAATGCTACAAAGAAAAAACCTGTGCGGTTATTTTTTTGGTTTTGTTAGCTGTTGCCGCGAGGTGGGTTTCTTATAATGTTTTTCTTTTTTATCTAGCCGATCACAATTGGTCCAATATCGTTGTTGACACTTGATAGTCGACACTTGCAAGGTTGACCGCAATAAAACTTTGACGCGGGACCACCACGTGCAAGAAAAATATCCTGTTATGGAATAACTGTTTATCTTATTGGGAAGCAAAAGTATTTGCTTTTTTCATGGCTGAAATGGCAAAATAGTACAATAAAGATATTTGGCTTCAATGTGTATTTCAAATTGGATATATAAGCTGGTCGTCGGGCATGCAAAAATAATTTATAAGATTCGTTGTAAATCTCTTCCATCCTCAGTTTCCTCAAGCCCCTTTTTCCTCTTTTCACCTTACGCTTGCCTACTCCCTCAGCCGCAAACCTTGTACTAAATAAGCTAGTCTTTTTAGCACCCTTCGTTCAATTTGGTCACACTCTACTGGCACTATCCCCTTGCTTCTTTGTTGCTATTGAATTTTTATATAATTTTTTAATTGGCCGGTCCTTTTAAATATTCACATTTAAAAAACTCAATTTTCCGTTTCCAACATTGCAATGAAGACGACCTTTACTTTCTCCTCTGCCCTTGCTCTTTTTGCCGGCCTGGCCTCAGTAGCCAACGCGCATACGTACCTTAGCAAGCTCAACATTGCTGGTACACAATACGACGAGGGTGTTTGCATTCGCCCCTACCCGTCCAACCGCAACTTCCCAGTCAAGGATCCCTCATCCTCCGATATGACCTGCGGTGTCGGCGGTCTTTCAAGCACAGCTGCTAAAACCTGCCCTGTCGCTGCCGGCTCCAAGATCACCGTTGAGTGGCACCATGACAACGCATCTGACTCTGATGATGTTATTGATATTACCCACCTGGGCCCCTGCCTCGTGTACATGGCACCCCTGTCGAGCAACGGCAAGGGCGACGTGTGGTTCAAGGTTTTCGAGGATGGCTATGATGCATCTAGCAATCAGTGGTGCGTCAACAAAATCCGCGCCAACCACGGCAAACTCGACATTACTATCCCGTCAGACATCAAGGCCGGCGACTACCTCTTGCGCACTGAAGTCATTGCTCTGCACGAGTCCGACACTGACTATGCAAGCAACTCTGCACGTGGAACTCAGTACTACCCCAACTGCGCCCAGGTTTCGGTCACAGGTTCTGGAGCTGCTGTTCCCGTGGGTCATGCTATTCCGGGCATTTACAAGACCAACAGTCCTGGCATTATTTTTAACCTGTACAGCTCCTACAATAGCTACCCGATTCCCGGCCCCGCTGTCTATGTTGCTGGCTCTGCTGCCCCTGCTCCTATTGTCAGCTCTTCATCTGCAACCGAGTACACGACCACAACTGCTGCTGCTGCCACCACCACCGCTGCTACGATCACGTCTAGCTCAGTTGAGAGCTACTCTGCTGCCACCTCTACTACTGTGACCAGTGCTGTCCAGAGCTATGCCACAACCTCTACCACTGAGTCTAGCTCTGTTGAAATCTACCCAACCACCACCACTCAGACACCCGCTGCTTCCATCTCGAGCGCACCTGGCTCGCACCACTCAACGGTCACCGTCTATGTTAACAAGTGCCACTAATTTTACAGCAGCAAAATAAAATTTTGTTTTATAAATTGGTGTTTACTTATAGTTTCCTTTTACCCTTGGAATAAATGCAATTAATTACTTTCATTCCAGCAGGCCCTAAAAGTTTCCAACCCCTACTAGATTTATTTTCTCTTAAATAAAACCAATTCTTTGTTTTCCATTACGCTCACATTGCGCCACACAAATCATGTTTTTGTTGCATGTGCACCGCTACTATTTTTGTCTCTACTCCATCGTTCATCCAAATTCCTTAATGCAAAATGACCACTAAAACAACAGAAAATTTCTTTAAACATTTTTTTTTGCTTTTATCATTAAAAAGAATACACCACGTTCCCTGTATTCCTATTGAATTCTGGTAGAGACGTTCTGTGAACATGTCGAGATAAAATACTATGTATAAAAGTGTATTGAATATATAAGTGCTATGCACTGAAAAAGATGAACATATTACTTTGTGTGTTTGGCTCGAGTAGCCAGGACTGGTTAATCAGTTGATCTTCGTCAACCAATAATTACTGCACATTGCTAAAAATGCATGTCGAATGACTAGAATATTTGCAAAGAATATGGTTTACACATCTTCAATTTAAGCTCAAATTAGCAGCCTCAGTATCAAACCTCAATTTTTATACTTTAGGCCTGGTAAATTAAAAACATAAATTTACAATAATAAAACCTGACATTTTTTATATCTGGCACCTTTTTCATTTTTTCTACTGTCGAGTGTATTTTATTGCAATAATTTAAAAAATTATTTGTTGCTTTGAGATACTAGGGTTTGGCCTTTTTACTTTTCTTTACAAAGTGGAAAGGGGTGAGCCAAATACAAAGTATCTATTCCTTATTGGTCTTGTGACAAACAATTGTATGAATGTAGCCTTTTGTCTTTATATATTCTGCTTTTCTATATGCACACGTGTAACATCTGCTGCTAAATAAGCAGTGTTGAGCAGCCCAAGAATATAAAAGTGGATGTTGAGGTTGAGAGCTGTGAAATGAGTTTCCATCAACATGCCGATTGACAGGGCATAGATGGTACCATGCAGGATCAAATCAGGGGACATAATACTGATACCCTGATATGCCTCCCATTTTACAACGTACACGCATAAATGTGCATGTGCAAAGACCACAACATTGACATGCCAAGACACCAGCCTGTCTGTAGAAGAACCAGTTCTCATCAACAGAGTGCACAACTGGCGAAATGTACAACAAAGGGAGCGAGATACATATATAAGATGAGACCAGCCCTAGTTCTAATTTTGATTCCTTTGATAATAAAAACTATAACAAAACCCAAGCATGCTTTTAACACTAGGCAACTAGTGCTCCACTTAAATCACGACACCTTTAACACTAGACGGCTAATGCTCTCCCCAAATCACAACAGCAGAAAAGTTATCAGCATGTACATATTATTGAATAAATTTATATTAGAATAATTATATAAATTGTTTTATAAAAATGGACAGAGCTTGCAGCTATATATTTAAATTTAATGTCTATCATTACAGTTTAAAAATATATTTTTTAATTTTCAACCCTCATTCGCTTTTATTTTATTTTATTTTTATATTCTAAAAGTTTTTATTATTATTTTATTGTATTCTGCACTCATTCTCACTTTTGCCATGCCACATGCCTGTCGTTATAATACTTATTAAGTTGACAGGACCTACTTAGTATGCATTATTTATTCTAACAAGGCGAAGCTCTAAGTCCTACCATTTCACTACAATGAAATTCAAACTCGGTTTTGCATCTGCTCTTGTGCTTGTTTCCAGCCTGGCCTCAATGGCCAGCGTGCACACATTCCTGCGCACCCTTACTATTAATGGCAAGCAGAGGTTGACCAGTGTATTGAGCCCTACCATGGCCCTGACAAAACTAGTGGAGTCAAAGACTCTGCGTCCAACGATATGACCTGCAGTATTCCCGGCTCAAGTAAAGACGCCGACCTCTGCCCCGTTAAAGCTGGTTCTAAAATAAGAGTTGTTTAGAAACTATGATGAGGATGAGGTTGATGTTCCAGAGAATATGATCATTGAAGAAAGCCACCAAGGCCTGTGCTTTGTATTTATGGCGCCCTTGGAATCTAATGGCAAGGGTGACGTGTGATTTAAAATCTTTGAATACGGGTACAGCTCTAGTTTATGGTGCGTCAACAAAATTTGCAAGGCAAGAGGAAAGCTTTGAATCACTATTCCTGAAGACACCCTGCCTAGCGACTATTTGCTGTGCACTGAAACTACTGATCTACAGGATGCTGAGGTCCAGTATACCAAAGATGGAAAGAAGGGCGCTTAATATTTTGTTAATTGTGCTCATCTTACTGTTTCTGGTTCTGGAACCGCTGTACCTCAAGGCTATACTATTCTGAGAATTTACAAGGCGAGCGACAAAGTTATGTTTTTTATTTAGATAAAAACAATGCTACTAAGTACGTGACACCAGGCCCCGCACTTTATATTCCCGGCTCTTACAGTGCTGAAAAACCCGTTGACCATAATACTTCTGCCACTAATAATGCTAAATCTGTAGAACTTAATGAGTCCAGCCCGTAAAGTGTTGAAAAGGTGGGGAAATCTAGCAGCAGTGGTAAACTCCGTGATTGTAACAAGAGGCCCCGTCCCCGTAGATGATTAGCGAGCTCCTATTGTATGAATGCGTATATTCATTTAAATAATAAGAGGTTTATAACTTGCAGCAACTGATGTGTAAAAAATAATCAAAGTTATAATCATTAACCATCTGTTTTTGAGTGGATATCATTGAAAGCCACTGCGAACACCAAATCTTTTTCTTTACAAAAAACTCGATTTTGCATAAATTATATTTTATTTGAACGAGTGCTTAAAAATATAATCTTTTTTACTCTGTTTACAGGTTGAAAATTTATTTATACTTTACCCTGTTAGCTGTCTGTCTTGTTGCAAATCTGGCCAAATAGGGGTCAGTAAAAAAACAAGACAGACAGCTACCAGTAAACACTGTTATAATAACAAAAAGTATATATCAAAGGCAAACTATGATAAGCGCGCGACATCTGCTGTGCCGCACACATGTACAAAAATATTAAAAGGACCAGCAATAGCAAAACAAATGCTATTTTGATACACCTTGAAATTGCATCAATTTCTAGTATCATCAAGATCTGGCAAAAACAGGTTCAATCATGGACGCCATGTGGCTTTGCAATCGATGTGATTGGTTCAGGGCGTCGGGTGACACCCTAAATCAGTGTGATGCGTCTATGTGTGTCTGCGGGTCTCATCCCGGGTCGCTACCCTGAATCCCCCCCGTGGGGTTCTCAAACAAAAAAACAAAAACAAAGCAGTGGCAACTTATACTTTAGCTTGTTATGTTTGATATATATATACTGTAATAGCATTGCAAATATTTATTTGCCAACACAATTGGCTTTACAACAAATATATTGTGTTTGCAAGCACAAACCCTGCGCAAAATATTTTTGATAACACATGCGCAGCAACAATTTTTTGCCCTTGTCGCTATTCCCTTGTTTGTGTATTGTAATTGTGAAAAATGCAGTTATAAAACATAAACCCTGCAAACGATAGAATTGATAAAATGTGAAAATTAGGTTTTAAAAGATGCACATTGAATAATATGTATAACGTGTACACAATTTGCCAGCAATTTGCTGCTAAATAAATAATAAAATTTTAACCATAGTCATTTTTTTCTAGCGCCATTTTTTTATCTAACTGTTGGGAGTGTTTTTTTACAATAATTTAAAAATATAACAAAAATAAATTCCTTTTATTTTCGCAAAACAATGTGCTTTTGGCACGTTCTCATGACATTTAATTGTATAAAAGCGATAAGGAGTACTTTTTTATAAAATGAGCTTTGTATGTACGCATGTTAACAACTGTCATTTAATAAAGCAAATTTTAAAAAAAAATTATACTTTGTTGGATGGACGAGTAAATAAACAAAGGTGTAGATGGATGGATGGGTGGACGAGGACATTAATTGTTTAAAATGGTTAACTGCCGACACATTTTTATAATAAAATAAAATAAAATTACAATTGCAATCTCCGCCCTCCAATTTTTATTATTTTATTATTCTACACCCATCCTCAACTTATTTGTGCCACATACTTCTCGTTGTAATATTTATTTAGTTGGCAGGACCTACTTAGTACATATTATTCATTCTAACAAGTTGAATTTCCAAGTCCTACTATTTCACTACAATGAAATTCAAACTCGGTTTTGCATCTGCTCTTGTGCTTGTTTCCAGCCTGGCCTCAATGGCCAGCGCGCACACATTCCTGCGCACCCTTACTATTGATGGCAAGCAAACAGAGGTTGGCCAGTGTATTGAGCCCTACCATGGCCCTGACAAAACTAGTGGAGTCAAGGACCCCGCGTCCGACGATATGACATGTGGGTTCCCTGGCTCTAGCAAAGACGCTGACCTCTGCCCCGTCGAAGCTGGCTCTGAAATTAAAGCAGAGTTTAGAAACTACGATACTGAGGAAGAAGCTGATGGAAAATTCAACATGGCCATCGATGAGAGCCACCAAGGACCTTGCTTTGCATACATGGCACCCTTAGAGTCTGGTGGCAAGGGCGACGTGTGGTTTAAGATTTTTGAAGACGGGTACAGCTCTGGTTCATGGTGTGTCAACAAGATTCGTTTTTCTATGGGTTTTATGAACATTACCATTCCTAAGGATATTCTCCCTGGCGACTATTTGCTGCGCACGGAGGTTATTGGGCTGCAAGAAGCCATGTACGAGTATGAAGCGGGCCAGAAAAAGGGAGCTCAATATTTCATTAATTGTGCCCATATCACTGTTTCTGGTTCTGGAACCGCTGTACCTGACGGCTATGCTATTCCGGGAATTTACAAGCAGGATGAGCCGAGTATTCTCTTTGATCTGGATAAAGATGATGCTACTAAGTACGTGACACCAGGTCCCCCGCTTTATGTTCCCGGCTCTTCCAGTGATAAAAAAGCCGTTGACCAAAATACGTCTGCCACTAATAATGCTAAAGCTGTAGAACATAATGAGCCCAGCTCGCCAAGTGTTGAAAAAAGTGAAATCTCTAGTAGCACTAGTAAACCCCGTGATTGCAAAAAGAAGCGCCGCCGCAGATGATTATTTTATTTTTAATACATTTTCTACAATATATATATGTTTTTGAACTGTATTATATGACTTGTTTTCGCAATGTTTTTTACTTGAATTTTCTTATTTTTTGTATTTGCCAATTTGAAACTATTAATTGATAGCAAGCAACTGACTAACTAATTTTGGTTGCTTAGCCAGACAAACACTCAATTAATAGTTACACAATGACACACATTATATAGTTGTACTTTTTCACCTCTCCACTACAAATACTTATATTTAATAAATATTTACGCATAGTATTTATCGATTTACATTCACAGAACTCTTAGATTTCAACAGGAATGTTGCAATAGTTATGCAAAGCGACAAAAGTTTACAAACGACAGCAGAAGTCCACTTTTGAAACACCAGCTGTTACGCTTATCAATATTGGCCGTAAATACTGCGAGTACACTATGTATATTTATTACTACCAGGCAGCATAAAACTGAATTTAAAGACGCTCAGACTTCTTTCAGTATATTACGCAAAATAAGTTTTAAGCCAGATATCATGGCAAAGAGGGTTTAGACAGATGAGGTCAGATCCAGCCTCAACAGTGCACAACATATTACGGCATACAAGAACAAATAATAACTGAACACCATTGATAAGTTGTCCATTTTGTTTGCAGCAGTCATTTTTCTACACGCGCCCGATTGAAACAAACGCAAATTCTTGGTTGCCGGCTGCACGGACAATTGCTTGTTTTTCTGGGCAACAGGCAAGATTATGGACATAGCTGCTGTCGTTGTCATCATGCGTGCAGCCACCCTCACACAGGCTACATACGGACTTGCTTTCACATGGCCCTGGCCTCGACCCTCCTTGACCAACACAACTTCCAGTACTCGTACAAATGGAACAAGCAGATGAGTCCCAAACTAAGAAGTATTAAATGCTGGCGTACACTTGCACGAATCCTGCTGGTCATCACGTATTTTTCAACGAGAGCAAACGTACCACTACTTCTCTACAAACTGCAAGTACACTACATTGTCCACATTGCACAAGTGGTTAGCTGACGAGACACTCTCCTGTTATTTCTTGCAACCAAGACTCGCACACTGCAGCGGCACATCCTATTGCAAGACGGGCGAAATAACTGTTGGCACCTGGACAGACTTCTCTAAAATATACTGTTCTACAACTCAATTACCCTGCTTGCCACTGCCCAATATTCTCACCTCTTCTGATGGCTTAACTGTTGGTGTGAGGCGGGAGTCACTAGTGGAAATTTTTGTGCAAATGCTGATAAAAATATTATCACATGTATTACTTTTTTACTTTTTACTCTATTCCACCAATTGTGAGACAACACTAGTGGTTAATGAGGGTATATTATTTTTAAATTAGCAGTGCATATATTGCCTTATTTTTCCATTGATTACCAATAGAGTATTAACTGTGCTGTCCTTTGTTGTATATGGTGGAAATTTTGTTTGTCAACCAATATGTATATGTACATATTTTTTGCACGCAATCTATTGCCAAATAACAGACCTCGCTTTCAAACCACTCATTTTATATTTTTGGTCAGCAGATTCTCAGTTTACATTTCAAATTTGAAAGTTGTCATTTTTCTATAGAGTTGCTTTTGTCGCTTTGTACATCATGAGGGTGGCTTTTACATTTATTTTAAACTAAAACGAGGTGGTTATTTTAATGTGTTAATGCTTGGCATTTTGGCTTCATGCAAGACACACTAATAATAGTGCGTAGAAAACCTAGCTTCATTACGCACGCATGTCATTTAATTATGTAAAGCAAAAGGGTAATTAAGAAGAAATTAGCGAGTGCTCATGATTTCAGCAGCTCCTTATTAATGACATGGACTTTGCAAAGCATGCTCAACGCTAGACAAAAATGAAGGAATGAATGAAAGTATGTACATATATATATACAGCTAGAAAAAAATGGACAGACGAGGAAAGCTACTAAATATTTAAACTGGTCAAGTGCCAAC